GCTGGCGGTTTCACCGGCACCTTCGTCATCGAGCACTTGGCCATCCACGGAGGTGGAGACACTGGAGAGGAGGTGCAGACCACTCCAGCAACAGAGCTGAGCACTCCTGGGACAATGTCGAGCACTCCAAGAGGGGTGCCGAGCACTACAAGAGTGGTGCCAAGCGGTCCTATAGTGGTGCTGTCCACTCCAGGACGGGTGCCGAACGCTCCCGTAGCGGAGCCGAGAGGTCTTGCAGTGGTGCCGACCACTCCAAGACTGGGGCTGAGCACTCCTGTAGTGGTGCCGAACACTCTAGGAGTGGTGACGAGCAGTCCAGGAGTAGTGCCGAGCACTACAGCCGGGGTGCCGAGCACTCCAAGTGCTGTGCCGATCACTCCAATACAACAGGGAACTCCATCGACGCCGATCGAGTTCACCTCACCTCCAAGCGACATCACTGAGTTCGTGGATGCCTTCCACAACGATGAGGAGGTGTGGTTCCATAGGCTGGATGACATCATCGGCGGCACAAGGCCCTCAGGCCTGGCGGGATGGCTGCTCAATGAAACAGAGCTACTTCTTGTCAGTGCAGAGGAACCACCCACGTTCGCGCTGGCTGAGCGCGATGTAAATTGACGACGGGCGATGCTGGAGGAGATGAAGGCAATTGAGAAAAATGAGACTTAGGAGCTCGTCGATCCATCTCCAGGATGCCGTCCGATGGGCCTGAAGTAGGTGTACAAGGTTAAGTGGGACGAGCGTGGCGCCATTGTGAAGCATAAGGCGCGCCTCATCGCCTGAGGCTTTGTCCAGTGCGAGGGCGTCGACTTCAAGGAAGTCTTTGCGCCGATAGCGCGCATGGAGTCTATCTGACTGCTACTGGCTTTGGCAGCAGTGAAGGATTGGCGCGTCCATCATCTGGACGTAAAATCGGCCTTCCTCAATGGTGAGCTAGCGGAGACGGTCTTCGTCAGACAACCTTTGGGTTTTGCTGTCAAGGGAGCGGAGCACAGGGTGCTTCGACTGCGCAAGACGCTCTACGGGCTGTGACAGGCCCCACGAGCATGGAACGCCAAGCTTGACGCCACGCTGGGCGAGCTTGGGTTCACGCGGTGCGTAACCGAGCACGCGCTCTACATGCGACGATAGGGGAAGGAGAAGCTCGTCGTCAGCGTGTATGTGGATGACTCGATCGTCACTGGTGTGCGTGCAGAGGACATCGACAGCTTCAAGCGCGAGATAACGGCTTGTTTTCGAATGAGCGATCTTGGCACGCTCTCCTACTACCTCGGCATCGAGGTGAGATAGGGGAAGGAGGCGCTCACGCTCGGTCAGAGCGCGTATGCCTTGAAGCTGTTGGAGCGGAGCAGCATGGCTGAGTGCAAGCCGTGTGTGACTCCGATGGAGGATCGACGGAAGCTGACGAAGTCTAGTACCACGGTGAAGGTAGATGCAACACTCTACCGGAGCATTGTCGGCGGTCTGCGCTACCTAGTCCACACGAGGTCGGACATTGCGTTCGCCGTGGGCTACGTCAGTCGCTTCATGGAGGATCCCCGAGAGGATCACTGGGCTGTGGTGAAGCGGCTGCTGCGCTACGTCAAGGGGACGGTGGATCAGGGGATCGTCTTCCCCAAGACCGGCGAAAGTAGGCTGCAGCTCACTATGTTCAGTGATGCAGACATGGTGGGGGACATCGACGGACGGCGGAGCATCTCTGACGTGCTCATTTTTCTCGGATCGGCTCCAATCTCATGGCTATCGCTAAAACAGAAGGTGGTGGTGCTGTCCACGTGCGAGGCAGAGTACGTGGCAGCGGCCACAGTGGCGTGCCAAGCTGTGTGGCTGCACCGGCTGCTGGGCGGACTGACCGGTGTGGAAACTCACCCACCAGCACTGATGGTGGACAACCAGCCCGCTATCGCCCTTGCGAAGAATCCGGTTCTCCACGACCAGAGCAAGCACATCGACGTCAAGTTCCACTTCCTCAGGGAATGTATCAATGGAGGGCAGATCGTCATCGAGTTCGTCGAAACTGGTCGGCAACTCACGGACGTCCTCACCAAGCCGCTCGGCCGTCTTCGGTTCACGGAGCCGAAAAAGATGATCGGCATGGAGGGGGTTTAAGGGTTAGCAGCAGGATTAGATGAAGAATTGTTAAATAATCTGTTGCTCCCTTTGTGTGAACGCGCAGCAGGGACAGGCGACGCCAAAAAGGCTCCCTGCTGCTGCACTGTAGCCGCTGCAGGGGCAGGCGCCGCAAGGCTCCCATGCCGCACTGTAGCCACAGCAGGGGCAGACGACAAAGTTAGCCCTGCTGTCATATCTAGTCAGTGTAGCAGCATGACAGCCTGACATGTCTGTGTACTAGGATTAGATTGGTAGAGTTGTATATATAGTTTCCCACTGTAACTCAGTAAAGAGAGCGAGTTCAGTTTTGCCATCTCCTCTGTAGAGCTCCGGCCAATGCTGATGCTTGTGCTGTGTGTACTCTGTTCTCTCTCCCTTCTTCTACCTACAGCCATAGCGTATGGTCGCCAACGATAATATGTGGTCGGCAATGCTGGTGAGCGATCGGCTCACCCGTGCCAGTGATCCAGTGGGCTAACTGAGTCACGCCATAACTGAAACAGTTGTACCGACTTGGTTCATCTTGTCAGTATCCGTGCTCTGCGGCAATTACCGGTAAGTATACTTGTCTTTGTTGAATAGCGGGCGGCCGGTACGGTTTGGTTAGCCGTTCAACACTATCGATTACTTTAATTATTATATGAGAAGAGAACCAACGAAATATTGCTTGAACGGTTGGTGCAGGTAGTCACACACTCACACCCTCTGTATAAGGCTGTGTTTAGTTCGCGAAATTTGAGAATTTAGCTACTGTAGCACTTTCGTTTTTATTTGACAATTAGTGTTTAATCATGGACTAATTAGGCTCAAAACGTTCGTCTCGTGATTTCCAACTAAACTATGCAATTAGTTTTTTTTCGTCTACATTTAATGCTCCATGCACGTATCGCAAGATTCGATGTGATAGCTACTGTAGCACTTTTTGGAAAAATTTTTAAGAACTAAACACAGCCTAACTTACCGGGTATCATATATATGGGTGCACAGCTTACAGTAGCTTTATGAGCTGTTATGAGCTTTTTTTTTTACCAAACACCTATTTTCAAAACAGTTTCATGGGTTAATGTGTTTTTCTTCTCCTCTTATGAAGGAATGAGTTGGGACGAAGGTGAAAAAAATGGCTTATCCTAGCTTTATCTCCCACATGTGGGCCCAGTAAAGAAAAAAGACTGCATGTGCCCTAGCTTATGCGTGTGAGGACCGTGGCGTCTGTGACCATGGCCGGAAGGGCAGGCGTGGCCACCGGGGTGCCGGTGCCGTCGTCGGGGCGCGGGCAGCCGCGGGCACCAGAGCACGGGCCACCGGAGCGCGTGTTGCTCGGCTGCTAGGGCGCGACAGGCTAGGCCGCCGGAGAGCGCGAGGGGCCCGACTGTCGGAGAGCATGAGCGGGATGCGTGGACGCGACCGGAGAAGAAGTCCGGGATGCACGAGGGGCTCGACCGCCGAAGAAGATTGAGGACGCACACGCTTGGGGTAGGAAGGCGTCAGGGCGCAGGCCGCAGCAGCGCGGCGTTGGCTTGCAGTCGCCGGGATGCGCCACGGCCGCCGGCGTGTGGGCTCGGCCACGTCCACCGGGAGGCGCGAGCAAGGGCTGCAAGCGACGCCGACGTAGGCCGTAGGGGCGAGCAGCCGGGCGTAGCCGCCACAATGGACTCGTACCGCCGCGAGGGCACAGCTGCCGTGGCTCGCGACCTCCGGGACTCTTGGCCGCCGGGGCACGGCGGGTGCTCGCCATCGGGGCCGCCGAGGCGCATCGGGACGAGCCAACGAGAGGAGGAAGAAAGGCCCGTGAGGATAAGATTGAGGGGGAAAAAGAAAAGAAAAAAAGAAGGGGCGGTATGGTCATTTGATTCTTTTGGTTTGTCATGTGAAGCTGTTTTACGAAACGGGATGACCACAACAGCTCAGCTTCATCCAAAAAGCTACTCTTGAAGCTAAAACCCCCAAAAATGACTTCATCGGTGAAGTCGAGCTGTGCCAAACGGGGCATACCCTAGATTTGACAGCGTGGTCTATGTCCTGCACCTGTGTGGCTACATAATTAGTAGCAATTGAAATGAAAAGAAAATAAATAATTTGTGGGAATCGGCCTGTCATAGCTAGGGCATTATTGCATCAAAAGACTTAGCACCAAGAATATACAAGATTTTCATTCAAGAACAAAAGAAGAACGATACATGACGCGTTATATTGATAATAATGCTTGGGTAGTGAGAACCAACATTTCAAGTCTTGTTTCGCTGTACTCATGTTCACCTCAATTCATATATATTAAGGTGGATTGGGATGGAAAATTAGCTAATTATCACCTTAACACATGTGAATTAAAATGAATATGAGTGCAGCCAAATTAGCCCTCAGCCATTCTTAGCATAGGTGCTGTACCTAGTTGAGCACCAAATTTTGAAAAAAGAGTACAAGCAAGGGGCATATCAATAACTAGCTGGCCCCCCACGCGTTGCCGCGGGCGCCAGGAAGAATCGCAATTGGGTTGATAGTGTATTTATGTATATACATCATATTTGTCCATTAACATATCAAAATATAAATGTATAGTAGTAACCTAAAGGGTCTACATGTTCTCAACATATAGACAACATTAGAACTTTAATAGCTTGAGAGTGACAATATTTTGAAACCTGATGTCCTGATTATCCTGCAGGCTTGAGGCATAGCATATCTGACAACAGGGGCCACAAACACTTGTTTTATAGAGGAACACGGTCTCCAAGCATAAATTTGGAAAAATATCAAATGATAATATATTCATAAAATGAACTACAATTATATTGTGAATTAAGGGAATGTTTTGAGATATCATCTAGGAGCTAATTGTCTCATCGTATTCATCTACAAACAGACCAAATCTGGCATGGGCATCGCTAGAACTAAAAAGAATTGTAAAAAAAAGTGATCACCTGGGAATCTGCAAAGAACAAATAAGGCAAACAAATTAAACATTTATTGTGACAAATGTGCATATTTAGGATGTCGTGTACATTAGCTTTTATTATATTAGCTGAGTAATTGAGCGCAATATGAACACAGTAAAGGGTAAAAACAATTTGTTGCCATCATTATGTCGTACAGCTTATAGAGTAAGGTCAACTACATTTTGACGGCATGTAAATAGAGTTCGTGGCATTATCTCTGCGTGTACTGTAATAAAGTTTGAAGTTTGCAGTCACAACTGGGAAATGAAAAAATAAATGGCTTACCGCTGGCAGCAGTTACAAAGATGATATGAAAATCCCTAGGAAGCCAAAGAACACCATTGTCAGCTCCATGGAAGATCTGCAGCATGGTAATATGGGAAACAACATCTTCATCAGGTAGTTGATCTTCATCAGGTAGTTGACCAATGCTCTTAGCACGTACATCAGGTGGGAAGAAAAAATGTTTGTTTGTTAACTTTAATAGCCAAAAGAATTATGAGAACTTTAATATAGCCTAATGTCATGAGAGGAAATGGTGGCACCTTGAACTTTAGTCTGTAACTAAAACAGTAGTTGTGGGGGGCTCCACCAAATATTAATATTAATATTTATATTAAGTTTCATTGATCATAGGTACTCAAACATTAATAGTTGAAAAACAACTTAGTATTGGGCAATGAAAATATATGGGTACCTGCTATTTTATTTTATTAGTAGCATGTAAAGTATCTATACATTGTGAAGCAAAGGAGTGCATCCCCAAAACTGGATAATCGAAAATGAGGTACCCGAAGAACTCAGTGCCCCCAATAAAACTACTTTAATGCTGGTGCATATGAGGAAACCTTGACCGGCAATATGTGTAACGGTAAAGTTGAAGGTTTTGTAAAAATGGTATGATGTAACATTGAGCGATACATTTAATTTTGCAAGGAAAAAATGCCTATTAGACTGTAAAGCAAATACGCAATAACCTAGAGAGCATAGCTGAAACACAATCAGTCTGAGGAAAGCACCAATGCATATATGGCTATATCATTCACACAGTTATCATCCATCAGGTAGAGATCACGTGGAGCATCTCACGACTATTACCTGAAAGGGGAAAAGCGTCACTAAACTATTCAGCATAGGATCTCCTCTCACTGTAATCATAGAGCACATATTCAGGGTCAGAGCTGTACATGGTAAACCCATAATGATGAAAACAATCCAGCTAAACATATTTCAGAAACGCAGTGAGAATTAGAGATCAGCATCTTGGCTCGACGTATGTGCTAGGGGCACCTCGGGCGAAAGCCTTGGCGACGGCGACGTCTGTGGGCGCCGTTTTTTTTGTTGGGGGCGTCGTGTTCTTGTGCCCCCAGCCATGTCTTCCACGGGTGAAAACCCGGTCCATTCCTGGACAAGCGACGGCGACGCATTCAGCGCCGTACCCTTCCTGAAGGCGTTGCTGTGGAAATTCGTCTCGGCCGTGATGTCTCCTTCGGCGGATGTCCTCCGTCTCTCGGCGCCCGGTGGATGCGAGACGGCGAGTTCTGCATCGTAAAGTCTGAGCTGCTGCATCAGGGGATGTAGCTCGGCAACGATGACGCGTGTCGAACCCTCCTTCTCCGACGGCTGGGTTTTCAGCTTTAGAGGCTCGGTAATCGCCGCGGGCGGGGCGTGGGATCATGGTAGGAAGTCGGAGCTGCTCTTCGCGGAGCCGTTGAGCTCGGCAACGATGACCTGTTGCAGCCTCCTGCTTCGGGCCCGTTGGTCTGACATCTTAGGATGGGTCGTCGGTGTTTTGCCATGGGAAGTCGGAGCTGCTAGCTGCTTTGCAACTATGCTCGGCAACGATGACTCATGGTAGTGTGTACTCTGCCGCGTTGCGTGTGTGGGTAACTTTTCGTGGTGTTTGGCGCCACGCTTGGCTACCTTTGCTTGTATATAAACTTCATTCGTCTTAATTGAAAGACAGAGCTCCTGCCATTGTTTTCAAAAAATCACATGATTCCGCAAGTCTGAATGGCTAGGAATGGTGATTTCTCTGAGCTCTCCTTGCTGCTCTGGTTCTGCATTTACCTACTTGAATTGGGAAGAAAACATGTTAGTTTGTTAGTACCTAGGTACAGAGAAAAGCTCCTTTTTCCAACACTGGCCATTACTGATTCTGAGCCATTGGACTGATCATTACAACAGAGTCTTCTAGGATGAAGCGGGTCTCCTTGACCTGCAGTATAGCAGGAACATAGTGATTTTTTTTCAATATATATGCTGTAATGTAATGGGTAAAAAAAATTGGTATAGTTGACAAATTTGATAACGGAAACATGTAAGATAGCCATTTTCTGTGAAACAAATCATAAGGTAATCTATTGTGGATAGGCGGTACCAATCTGAGCAATGTATTGAAATTAAACAATGTGACTGAAATTGGAAGAACGGCAATCGTACTATTCAGTAGACGTAGAGAAAATCTAACACCAAAAAAGCTCATGGAGGGGGAGGGATAAGCAGAGGAAGGGGACCTGGGAGCAGGCACATTCGGGGACAGGAAGAGGCGATGCGCCGTCGTCATCCGGTCCATCTCTGCCGGCAAGGCCGGCCACGGATCAGATCCGGCACTCACGGCTACCAGCGGCGGCGTGGCGACCTCGAGGAGGGGGCGTCCGTGCCAGGAGGCAGGCACCGGCGGGGGGCTGCGCCGCGCAGCCTGGGCGCCGCCGGGCCGGCCGTGCAAAGCGCGCGGAGGTGGCCACGCTCTGGGCCTCCCGCAGCGCCACCACGTCGGGAGAGAGGGAGAGGGGGGGGTGGGTGAGGAGGCTGCATCGGGGACGCGAGTGGCGCAGAGGCAGCGCCGGGGACCGGCGGGGGTGGCAGCGGCGGAGGTGCGGAGGCAGCGGGAGAGGATGGCGTCGGGATGGGGAGGGCGGCGAGAGGGCTGGAGCGTTTTTTTTTTCGTCGGTCTCTATGGGGAATATCACGGATGGGGAAAAGAAGGGGACGCGGGGCCTGGAAACTTCCAGCATGCGCAAGACGGAAATTGCAGGAGAGGAAACGACGGAATTGCTACAGGGTAACAGTACCGGCCGTACATCAACAAACGTATATTGTATTGTGTGTTTATATATATATATTGAGTAGCCAACTACAAAATAAGTTATTACGTAGCCACCTTCATTTACAATAATTTTATATACTAATTTACGATAATGTCAATACATATTTACGATAGTTGGGTTATTATAACACATGGGGATATTTACCATAACATTCCCTATGTGTTATATTAACCCAATTATCGTAAATATGTATTGACATTATCGTAAATTAGTATATAAAATTATCGTAAATGGAGGTGGCTACGGAATAACTTATTTTGTAGCTGGTAACCCAATTATCGTAAATATGTATTGACATTATCGTAAATTAGTATATGAAATATGAAATTATCGTAAACGGAGGTGGCTACAGAATAACTTATTTTGTAGCTGGCTACTGAATATACTCTCCATATATATATATATATATATATATATATATATATATATATATATATATATATATATATATATATATATATTGGATATTGGGAGCTTAGCTATAGGAAGCCCCAGCCCAAACCCTTGCTGATCCAACCAAATCAAGAACTCAGCCGAATCACCATCCAACCGGACCACCCACCTAGCCTGCTGGCCCACCACCGGCCCATTCGGCCCACCAGGCCCCACCCCACGTTCCGACGCCCTATATAACCGTCCAAACCCTAATCCCCACCCATCCACACCTGGCCACCACCTCCTGCCCCATGTCGACCCCAGCCCGAGCACGCCCTGCCGGCCCTGGAGCGTCACGGTCGCCCCCCTGGAGCGCGCGCCGCCATGCCTTGGAGCACCGACGACTAGTGCGCGATGAGGTCGTCACGCCCGGGCACTGCGACGCGACACCGACGGTGCCTTACAGCTCTCGGCCGCGCGCGGGGACGGCTCCGGCTCATGGCGACAGCGGCGTGCGGCGAACTAGGAGCGCCGGCACCGGATCTGGTAGCGAGGCCGCAGGGGCACCTCCTTGCTCTCCCCGGGCGCGCGGCCTCCTCCCTCCCGGCGGCGCACATGGCGGCCCTTAGAGGCGACGCGGACAGCCTCCTGGAGCCACCTGCCGGCCTCGCGCCCCACGCCCCCTCGATCGTGCCCCCCCGTCACTGGAGCGCAGCGGCCACCCTCTTGGAGGACGTGCCGCCGGATCTGCCGACGAGGAGCGGCGCCCCGGCTCCCCTCTCCACGGTGATGAGCAGCGAGGCCACCAGGGAACCTCCTTGCTCTTCCCAGGCGGCGTCCACTTCCCTTTCCTATCCCCACCGGCGGTGCATCCTGCATCTTGGGCGCCGCGCACCTGTGGCGAGGACGCGACGAGGCTGAGGGACTGAGACGGCGACGGTGCCTTGGAGCTCGCGGCCGCACACGGCTGACGAGGAGCGCAGCGGCAGATCTAGTGAAGGAGACGGCAACGAAGGGCGTGCAGTGGGGCAGCTACGAGCTTGGCCGCATTGACGGTGATGGGGCGCAACGAGGACGACTAGGAGCTCGGCCACGCGGACGGTGATGGGATCCAGGCGGGTGAGGAGTAGCTAAGCACCGTCGGATCTAGCGACGTGGAGCGGCGGTGCCATGGCTCCCCTCTCTACACAACGAGCAGCGAGGCCACCGGGTCCGCCACGACGGACGACGGCGTTATGGCGGCCACGGGGACTGCTACTGCCTCTCGGTGGCCACGCTGACGGCGACTGCATCGCGCCGGCTCGCTACCTGTCGGCCTGGGCGACTTTGGGACGGGGCCTGGCGGCCTAGGCAGCATCAGTAATCTAGGTTTTTTTGCTTGCAAGCATAGGTTTTTATGCATGGTGAAACTGTGATTCCGAAGATGTTGGATGATTTCTATGCTTAGTTGCATAACTTTCCACACAAGTTGAATTCATCTTCATTTATTCTGTTTGTTGATTTTGTGTTCCTATACTTGAGTGTATAAGTTTCTATACATGGCTAAACTGTAACTTGGTATACATTGTTGGTATACTATACATTTGTTGATGCTTAAATCTATAGAATGTTTGGAGTGGTTTCTATGTGGTTTTTATGCGGTAACAAAATTAATTTTTATTCATCGAACTACTAATTTCTATGCAATGCCGGCGCCAAAAACATTTATGCGCATCTTGACTATTGTTTCTATGAATCTGATCGTCCATCACGTTTTTGTGAGAAGACGAGATCGTCTTCAAATTTTTACAGTGGGAAGCATGATTTTGGAGGAGGCAATTATGGTTGTATCAGATGGAATGTCCATCTCGCGGAGATGTTTTTAGGCGGTAATTAATTTTTACATCTTACTGTTGATTCTATGCATCCAATCGGCCATCACGTGTCATGATTCAAATTTTAAATTTTCAAGAAGACGAGATCGTCTCCATGTTTTATGCATTGTTCCCATGTTAATTATACACACCACATACATGCCATGTTTCAAATTTCAAATTTTGGAGAAGACGAGATTGTCTCCATGTTTTACGCTTTGCGGTCTCTATATTTTATGTGGTGTTCCCATATTAATTATACACCTCTATAGTGGAAAGCATGATGTTGGTGGAAGGCAATCACGGTTTGTGTCAGGTGAAATGTCCATCTCGCGGAGACATTTTTATGCGGTAACAAAATTAATTTTTTATTCATCCAACTACTAATTTATATGCAGCGTCGGCGCAAAAAGCTTTTTTGCGCATCTTGACCATTGTTTCTATGCATCCAATCGGCCATCACGTGCCAGATTCAAATTCCAAATTTATGAATTTTAAATTTTTTCAAAAAAAATATTCACAGTAGATCTTGAATCATGACAAAAATGTTAGGAGTTCAATGTTGAAAACCGTTTTTGAATCAGATGCTTCATTGAGGAACTATAATGAAAAAACGAAAGAGACTAGATTGGATGCGTGCATGCATGCATGCGTCAGCTTTGTCATGTTGTGTCAGGTGGTGTCAGGTGGAACGTACAGCTCACGAAGAGGTTTTTATGCAGCAACGAATTAATTTTCATTCATCCAACCACTAATTTTTATGCAACGTAGTGACAAAAATGTTTCTGCGCAGCTTTACTTGGGATTTTATGCATCCAATCTATTAGGTTTGCATTGGTCCCTCACCTACGTGCGCGTCAGCACCGTGGACCTGAATGGTTGGGCTAGCTAGGGGGCTAGCTGGGGTTCTCCATTAGCTATTTGGAGCCCTGGGCTCCCAATATCCCAGCCCTTATATATATATAGAATTATTGTTCTGCAGCTGACCATAGAATAACTTATTCTGTGGTCACTTTGATTTACGATAGTTACTATGCTGATTTACAAGACTACAGTAACTCCTTACTAAGTGATTTACTATAACATTATGGTAAAAATCATCGTGAGTTGTAATAACACGAGTATCGTAAATGCATATTCATATTATCGTAAATTGGTACAAACATTATCGTAAATCAAGGTGACGGTAGAATAATATATATATAACTGCTATTTAGGTCCCTACGCTCTAAATAATATTTAGAGCGCCGGCCGGTCCATCATGCCAGTCACATTTTATATCAAAACCCGCAACCGTAAAAGTTCCTCCCAAAATAAGATTGCTCACTCCCACAACCGTAAAAGTCATTCAACAAATTAGGAACCAATCCGAATCCACCGCAACTGGAAAAGTAATGTTGTGCGGTAGTAATTGATGTAATACAACCGTAAAAATTTCAGGATTCCATTTTTACCTTCTATAAATACCTTCTAACCCTAATTATCTCTCATTTCTTTCCTCCTTTTTCTCTCTCTCCCTATCTCAGAGAGGCGGCAGCTTCAGAGCTCCAAAATGGCGGCGGCGCTCTCGCTCGCTCCCGGCCGGTGCTCTCCCTCCCTCTCGGCCAGGCTCCCTCTGCCTGCCACCGGCGACACCTTCCTCACCTGCCACCTGCCCGAGTGGTTAACAAGTTCAACACTAGCTGATGCTTTCCCCTCGCTACACAGTCACTTCACCAAAGGAGACGCCTCAGTGCATACAGTCCTCAATGGTGACTGGCGATCAATGCTTCAGTCATGGCTATCCCCACAAGCTGAAGACGAGTTGGACCAGCTGAGACACCTTCTACACGAGGTGACGCTCGAAGCCACCCCTGATGATAGAATCTGTGTGTTTGCCAAGCACGATGGCAAGCTTGCTGCCGGGATGATCTATAGGGCATCGATCAGAGGCGAGCAGAAGCTGCCTTCCTTTGATTTTGTATGGCGCAACTTTGCACCTCCACGTGTGAAATTCTTCGCTTGGCTTTTGGTTCAAGACAGGATCCAGTTCAAGACCAATTTGGCTTCTGGTGCTCCAGCTCCCTAGACTTCATGCGTGATCCCGTCCCAAGAGGCCGTCCACAACGCTGCTGGCATCGCTTTCCAAGCACAGGTGACATATTCATTTGTTTTATTTTTCATTTGAATGGTGAGATTTGGATGGCTGACAGTCTGTTAGAGGAAGGAATGATCCTGGTTTCTCTACACCTCCAAGT